AATGGGAGTACGAAGCTGGTAAGGAGATTCCTAGGCGACCTGAATCAGCGGGTACAGAGAGATTTCTAATACAGACACAGGCTTTAACTTTAATTAGCCATGCTCTTGGATGTCATGACTATTATACTTACTACTAATTGGTCTATTTGGACGGTGGGGTGCTAAACGGGCTTTGTTGTTTTTACTGTTCACTTGCCGTTGATCAGCATTCTTCAAAGACAATCCTCCTCCATTTGGTTGTGGCTATTTTAGTTTGGTGAAATACCCGACCCCGTGGGAAATTGAGGGAGTCAGATGCAAGACTTTCCCAGACTCCATCCACATCTTGATGTGAGCTATGTTTCTTCGACCGCTCGCCTCCAAGGCCAAAGAACGTGCAGCGGCGACTCAGCAATTGGATTATACTGGTTTACTGGCGTTGGTCTTGTTCTTTTGCAATGTGATTGGTGTATATTGGTGTGAATCTAGATGTCACCAAGCACCAGTATTTTTGTTGGGTTGGGACATCCTTTGCATCATATCATAATACATATACAAACGTCAACCATGGGCGGCTACACTCCAAAACGACCATAAGCTGGGGGAGGGGCAGTGGAGGGGGGGGGAGTGCGCCAGGAGTTTGCTCCCGCCAACATCCTGGAAAATTGAACATTACAGGCATCTTAAAGCAAGAACAACATATTGCAAAATGTCAGTTGGGTTTGGCAGAAAACACAAAAAATAAGTTATATAAACAATTCTGCATGTTTCATCTTTGGATAGTTTGACTGCCAAAGTTGTCAAAGTCTAAAGAGCCGACCAACCGACCAGCTCCACCCAACACTCGTCAACCATTAATATCAACCCACAAATCCCAGATCCACGGCTTTTTCACCAGTTGCCCAACCTATTCTCCCCCCCGGTCACCCCCCTTAGGCCCTATCCTTATCTCTAGCTAACCATAACTAACCCAAAATCGCGAATTTCCTCCGTCACCGAGTCGGTCTTAGGTGGCAGACACTCGCTTCAGCGTCCGCGAGCTCCGAGAGTTCCGCAAGGTCTTCCGCAGCTTCGCCAGGCCGACGCCTGAAACGAGCTCGTTGACTTGTGTTCTCTATGTGTTTGGGTGACACCACACGGAAGACTGGATTTGCACTGTTTAAATAAAGACGTAGATTAGGTGTTGATGGGATATGGTGGGATTGGGGATATTTGGGGATTACGGATTTTTAGTTGATGAAATAGCGTCCATGACTCGTTGGATCGTTTTCCTCATGAACCAAGAGGATTGGTTTGTGGAGCGCTGCAGCACGGCTCCTATATGCTGTTTGTGCAAGAGCAGAACATGCAGCATCAGCACAGAGATTTCCTTTGTTTGCTGTGGGCCGGGCCCTAAAACTGATTTTCATGGCACTGTACTGCAAACTCAATCTTATCAAAAAAGGATAAATTTGCATCGGCTTCAAAGTATCCAAACAATTGCAGCATGTTTGTTCAACTTCTTGTTTGCTCATCAGGAGAGAAGCACGGGATAGCACGGGTACAGGTCAAAATGTTCGGATGTCTTCAGCTGATGGTGTTTTAGCATGTTTTAGCCCACCCTCGTTAACTAGAGTAGAGTTCTTCTTACCAAGACGAAGGATGAACTTTGTTGCTCAAAAAACAAACGGCAGGGGCATGGGCACGTGGAAGTCTCATCAAACAATGGTCCAGCGGATGACCCACTCCTGGCATTTGAGAATCACAACAGTTTATGTCTTTCCGCTATGGACCAGCAAGCAAGTAGGTTGAGGATTCGATATTTGTTGCCGACCAGTTGGGAAAGCCTTCGATGAACCTCTGTTCCCATGTGCTTGGAGGTGATGCTCCACCAAAGAAGTACACCACTTAGTTCAGCTGACCACATTCAGTTGCTGACACCGGAATTGGGAGGGACCATCGACTGCGCCAGGGACCCCAGGGGTGACATGCACTTCGATGAGCTGCAAGAGATGATGGGCACCATCACGCGTGCGGCTACGGGTGCGCGTGGCAGTCAAGAGTGACCTGGAGAAAGAGGTCGTGGTTGGATTTCGCGCAGGATTCCACTGACTTCGTCGCGGCGGCGAATTCTTCTCATGGTTTTCCATCGGGCAAAGCTTTCGGTCCGTCGGCGGTCGGTGTCGGTTCGGCACACGATCCGTTTCTTTTTTTTTGCGCAGGGCAAAGTCCAATAAGTCCAATATGCCCGGTTGACAACGAAAGTAGCATGAAAAGATTTATAGATGTTATAGAATGTCAGCTCCGAGGATGGACATAGTTGTGCCAGTGATCCTTTGTTTGTTGGGCGTTGTTTTGTTCCCTTTTGTCCGGTTTCTCACGCTAATAGCGTTCTTCAATTGATATGGGTCATGGCAGTCTCTCTCCGTCAACTTCCATTAGCTGAAAAGGATCAACTTGACCTTGTGTGATCCTCTTTGACGATATTTCTGTTGTTCTAATTAGTAAGTAAACAAGCTCAAGGCTGTACATTGCAGAGGGACTCTGCACGTCATGAAATGAGCCCCTAATCGTTGAAATCCAATCATGTTTGCCATTTCAATCGAAGCCTCCAAAGGCTTTTCCTCCCCTCTTCTCATGCGCCTTCTCCAAGGTTGCTGGACATCGTTCGCAGGCGCCTTCCAAGGGCAAGCGTCATCGAGCGTCATCGGGACGTGGACGCAGAAGAATACAATATAAGTGATAATGGCATGGATTATAGCTATACATAGCTATACCGACCGTATAAATACGAGTTATACATAGTTATTTAACCCTCTAATGTAGACTCTTGATTAACAAAACCCCCGCAATGAAGAGGTGTTGCAATCCAACTGGGGGGGTTAATCATCAAGAGTCTACAGAACTGAGTAAAGCCAGTATAGCAGATCCAAGAAACGAAGAGAGCAGACGAAACAGACCACTTTCCCCTTCGAATCGCCTGTGGAATTTGCTCGGTGGGATGTCCCAGTTTGACACAGTACTCTAAAAAGGACTAAAAAGGTCACTGCAAATGGCTAAGGGTCAGGTCGAGGGAAGAATGAAGTCTTCCCCCCCCAGCCAAACGCAACAAATGCAATTACATGCCAAGCCAAGTGGTCCTAGTGCATCGCCGACCTTGGTGTTCGACAGATTCAGATCCCTTTTGACGTTGAAAACTTGAAAGCAAATCACGTTGAACATGAAAAGGGTCTGAAGTACCTCCTGGGGATGTGCTTTTGGTTGAAAGTACCTCCGGGGTCGGATGGTCTTTTGGATCAATGTATACCCGGTAGGTTTACTGGGAGTATGACAGAACAGCTACGTGGTGTTTGGTTAATGGATTCGCGTGGCTGGACTAGAGACCTGGAATTGACACTCAGAAAAAGATAGAAGAAGACAGCATACCCCAAAAAATGTGAGTCAGGAACAAATACCCATCAAATACCCGCTCTCCTTCAAATCCGGTAGTACTTCACGTCCACAGAGATCCAAATTGTTTATGATTTGGTTTTCGACCTTGCGGAATTTGCCTGTGACCCGCTGACGACGAGCGCCATGTGAGGTACGCCGGCAGCGACGATGCCTTGGACTTTCCACAGTTCCTCCACGTGATGTGAGGGATCCCAATCCGAGAGAGCATGGCATGGTGCAGTGACCAGTCTTCAGAAAGAAGTCTTCGGAAATCTCGCTGAACTGGAGAAATGAGAAATGACATGTAGCAGTAGCAGCCTGGAAAAACACTTTAGGACCCCTACATGAGTCCTGCTGGAGGGAATCGGGATGAATACACCAGGGTTGACTACCTTTTGGGAGATAGAGAATAGATGAGAATAGAGACTAGTCAACCCTGGTGTACTCATTTGCTGCAAGAAGGACAGCATGTTGGAAAGAAACTGCCACAGGATGAGAGACTCAGTGGTAGTTCCGTGCAAAAGCAGTCGGTCGGCTTCATCCTTACTTGCTCTTGCGTTTCACTCCGACGGTCCTTAAAACCGATGAAGCACATGCCATCGTAGGACCTCGTGTGTAAACCATGTACATCCACTTTTGGCAGAAGCTCCTTACCATTTGAAGTCTTGCAATGTAAACAGAAACAGCGCACTTGCAGGAAAGAACGTAAAGGAAAAACTCCTTTGTGTCATCCTGCCAAAGGCGTGATTTGGTGGAGAAGAACTGGGGGAACATCAACATTTTGACGCAACGCGGCAGCACTAGTCTTTGGAGTCGGTAGGCTTTGGATTTGTGGGGAATCAGTATGTCCTGCTTTCATCGGGTTACAAGGATGGGTCATGGCTTAAGTGTCTAAAGTCCAAGACCGATGGTTTGGAAACCGCATGTTGAGCCAATGTTTAACAATAAAGCAGTAGGATGAGTCTACAGTCTGAGGGTGGCATGGTCTCAGGGTCCACGCGCATGTCAACCCATTGAAATGGATCTGATGTTCATTGGGTCGAGGTCTTTTGCTAACCGCGACGATGTTACACGATATCCCATGAGAAGTCTCAGAGTGCATTTGGGCTCAACGGGCTGCACCTCAATTGCAGCTTGAATTTATGGAGGTCACGGCTCTTTCAGGATCCACGACCATCAAGCTTGATGAGGAGGAGTTGAATGAGATGGTGGTGAGTGGAAAATGCGTGAGAGAATTGAAAACACTCCTCGCAACTCGAGTTGGATACTCGAGGTTTCGACAGCGGCTCTTCGCGGATGATATGGGTGAGTTGCGGGATGAGATGCTTCTAAGTCGACTGCCAAGCGTTCAGTTGATCATCCTGGACCTTCATGATGCTGATGATGCCATGGTGGAGCAACTGTTTTGTGCATGTGAGCAGGGCAGACTGACTGAAGTTGAGCAACTCCTACAGAAGCCATTGAACCCCAACCTCAGACATCCCGAAAGGGAATTTGAGGGACAAGTCCACGATTTGTTGAATGGTGAAAACGAATTCGGGGACTGGGACACGGCCTTGACTGCTGCAGCTGAACATGGCCACTTGGAAGTGGTGTGCTTGTTGCTCGAGGCTGGAGCTGACAAGAATGCGGCAGGTGAATTTTTTGGGGGAACCGCCTTGAGGGCTGCAGCTACGCGTGGCCACTTGGAAGTGGTGCGCTTGCTGCTCAGGGCCGGAGCTGACAAGAATGCCGCAACCACTGATAGGGAAAAAGCCTTGATGGGTGCAGCTGAGCATGGCCATTTGGACGTGGTGCGCTTGTTGCTCGAGGCCGGCGCTGATGGGGCAACCGCCTTGATCAATGCAGCTTTCAATGGTCAGTTGGAAGCGGTGCGCTTGTTGCTAGAGGCTGGAGCTGCCAAGAATGCCGCAAACACCAATGGGGAAACAGCCTTGATGGCTGCAGCTGAGCACGACCACTTGGAAGTGGTGCGCTTGTTGCTCAAGGCCGGAGCTGACAAGAATGCCGCAACCACTGATGGGGAAACAGCCTTGATGCGCGCAGCTCACAATGGCCACTTGGAAGTGGTGCGCTTGTTGCTAGAGGCTGGAGCTGGCAAGAATGCCGCAAACACCAATGGGGAAACAGCCTTGATAGGCGCAGCTAAACATGGCCACTTGATAGTGGCGCGCTTGTTGCTCCAGGCCGGAGCTGACAAGAATGCCGCAGCCACTGATGGGGAAACAGCTCTTATCTTGGCAGCCGCGGAAGATGTAACAGTGTTCACTCTTGCAGATCTGAATGGCCCCTTGGAGACTGCACAATTTCGGCAGTCCTAGTGCGCAACCACCAGGCCCAAAGTGGCCGCCTTCAGTCAGCGAGGGTGTTGGAGAAAACGGTCACCTTCAGACATACGCAGCGAAAGAAACTTGTGCACCTTGGATTTTGTTTGTTCTGGGATTATGAACTCGTGGTCTGGGTTCTGGGGCTTTGCTGCTATTTTGTGCTGCGCCGTTGCGCCACCATGAACTTGTTGCTCCCCTCCTGCCCTATTCGTGATTGTGAAGCCACACCGCCCAGGGCGCCAGCACCGCCACCGCCACCGCCACCGGTGGAGCCGGAACCAGAGGAGCCAGAGGCACTGATCCCGATGGATCCCACGGCTGAGTAGGGCTGGGAACAGGCTGGCTCAGCCCAAAAAGATGACTTCAACAAAGGGGTAAAGTCGTTTTTTCTTGGGGGGGCGAAGTGTGTTTTGTATTGAGCAAGTCATTGTCAAAATCCGGAAACCGTTTCACTCTTTCACTTGTGTTTTTGAAATGTAATTCTTTTTGAGCCGCAGCCACAGCTGTGAGGTTTTGTGGCCTTGCGACCATCCCCAAAGGGGGATGGAACTCGAGGCCTCCCTGCAAGTGTTCGTGTGTAGCTAAATACTCAGTGTGTTGGACCCGTTCGTAGGTGCCAAAGACTTGGATGTGCTGCACCCAACAACCCATCATCACAATCTGGATGGCCGAGCGGCCCAGTTTCAAGTTACTCTCATTGGGACTTCACATGGCTGCAGTCACAACCGTAGTCACATATAACATATAACCAATGGTACTCCTGCTGATGGTCTCAAGACTACCAAAGCATGGGTCCTGATGAGATCATCCTGTTGGCAAAAATCGGGTCGGTAGAATGGAATGCAAAAGGCTGTACAGCCCAAAGCTTGTCCTTTTCTACTCCTGATTACAATCGAACACCTGCAGGGGGTTGTTGATAATGCAACGCTTTTGAACGGCCACCAGCGCTGCCCGAATGGACAGCCAGGCTGAGTATGGACTTACAGCGCTCCATTAGTGGAAAGTGCTGTGAAAGTGAGAGCATGACTTTGCTATAGAAATGGCATGCGGGAGAATCCTCAGGTTTGATGTCGATATGCATACGGATGATATTGTTTGAGGCAAGGTTAGCGTGATTTATGATATGTATGACAAGGATCAAACCAATGGCTAATGCTCACACCCCGAGTCCGATCACAGTTTTGTTTGTTAGGTGAATCTTGTGCCCATTTGCTATGACTCTGGGTGGAGTTCGAATTCAATGTCGTTTTGACCGTCTCTTCAAAGCCTCGATCTTTTTGGTCTTTTCAACCTCCGTGGAGGTAGATCTTTCGCAACAGGTTGGGTCATTGGTTCTCTCTTGGCTCGATTTGTGAAGACCGATCCAATGATCCACAAAACACAAAACGAGTTCCAATACTCGAAGTTGTGAAAGGCATTGCCATCCCCTCTACAAGATCCACAAACGATTTTCAACTGCAGGGCTAAGAGGTCTTCACTTGACCGACCACTTTAGCAAACCTGGTTTGCTGCTGCAAACAGCTGCTCCAAAGGGCTGAAATTGAGGTTGCGAAGCGACGTTTGGAAGTGACGTTTGAAAGCTCGACATGGTCCCTGAAATGTCTTGTTCCATTATTTTTAACCATAGATTTGCAGCAAACTTGAGGCATTGACCTGGATCCATATTAGACCGCCTACTCACCCCAGGTCAAGCATATTCTTCAGACTCAAAAGCTTGATCAACCGATCCATTCGCAATTGAAAGGCGCTGCTGAGCCCAAAACCTGCCTTCAGCAGGGTTGAGTCACCGCAAGCTTTCTCAAGCAGCTAAAAGAAAGTGTTGTTTTCCAGCACTTGTTCAAAGTAGCAGAATGGCAAGGCAAGTGGACAAAACACACTATTTATTCACATCTGAATCTAGTCACTATGCATGAAAGACAGCTTCACAACGAACATAATTCATGGAGCTACTGTCGCAGAGTGCAGATCCATCAGCCCTGGGGCCCTCCACCTTTGGTCACCAGACCTTCACTGAGACGAACGGAACTCGCCATGGCCAAGCAGAGCCTTCCGGATGCCTTGGAGCTGGGATTTGTAGCCACTTGACAGATGTTTGGATGGGGCCCTGAAAGGGAGGATGGATGGGTTGCATCGGCTTGGATACAGGATACAGACGGTTTGGATGGTTTGGCTTTGGGAAATGCAAAGATCAGAGTATGACAGTATGACTGGTTAAAATGTTGGCTACTTGTTTTTGAGATATCACGTGGACATAGTCATAGTCGTTCTCTACTAGTCTTAAATAGTCTTAAATCCATTTTGAAGGCTCAGCTTAGGTGGGTTTGAAGGATTTCAGCCAAAGCTGACATTTCCTGCTTGAAGTTGCGGTAAGAAAGATGCTTTCCCGCAGGATGATGCTTTACAAGCTCTTCCAGAGCTAAAACCTGCATTTGTTGAGTTTTGCGCATAGAACAACATGCGATTTGTCAGTGTCGTGGTGATCTATTTTAGGTTTCAAAAGAAGCCTATAGCTCAACTAAGGAGTTTCACGGAGAGAACTGAAGCACTGCAGGTAGGTGTTACAAAACCTGATTGCGCCCAGTATTGCATCATGCTGTAAAATCTATCAATAATTACTGAATATTACTGATATAAATCTCGTGCAGGTCCATGCAGAAACCTTGGAGTTAGCCAAAGCCTCGACCAGCATGTTCATCGAGGTTGATTTTTAACAAACAGTTGCACATCCACTAATCCTTTTGAACTCTTTTTGGTCCAAACTTACACAAGAAGATCAGGCATGGAGTGAAAGTTCTCTTTTCCGGGGAGGTGTAGCTGTGGATTTGTCCATATTCAAGTCCGCAATTGGTCAGCAAGTGTGCTCCTATTGGCCATCGATCGAGCGACCCCCCTTCTGTGGAACCTGGCCGTTTTTTGCAATGTCGCGCTCCCGTCTGAGTATGGAGGGGGGGGTTCGGGGGGGTTATTTGCGTCCATGATATCTTCTGAAACTCTCAAACCATTTGAGAAGTCGCCATGGAGCTTTGGGAACAATGTGGAGTCTCTAGAAGAGCCGCTTTTTGAGTTTATGGAGTGGAGACATATATTGAAAATTGGTCTATTGTGTTGGCAAAGACCATATGGACCTGTGTTTATGTATTGAAAACTGGGGAATCCAGAGACTTGGCATTTCTGCCGCACAAATATGAGGCCCTGAAGCCACGGGTCAGTGATGGAATGGCCGAGCTCGTGCTGCAGGTGCCAACATTCACACAGCTGGGGATAGAAGGTGTCCGTTGAGTTGACAACCAAAAGCACCTGCCAAAGACTAGTTGTCTAGTCAGTGAATCCAATGATTCTAGTGTAACCTCCAGGGTTTTATGTGGTTTTGTTCTTGTTACAGTGTATCCACCGACATGACCCATACCATTGCTTGAGGAGGCATTTGGTTATGAATGGTTACGATCACCAATAGATTTCAATCATGACTGAAGGTAATTATTGTAAGGTCGTTTGCCCCCAAGGCAGGCACGGTGGTCGATTGAACTCAATGTGGGTATTTTGTGCAGTTTCCTAGTCTGAGGCAAGCCTCCGTTTTGGTGTGCCTTCAATCAGTTCGACAGAAGCTTTTCCTTCAATAGTATGTGAATTAATTGCACACAGCCCGATTGCACATTGCCAAGTTCTACAGTAGATCTACATGTTTGAAATCGTGAGGGAGGTGGGACAAAATGCATCCAAGAAGGCAACAGTATATTATCCTTTCCTGAACATTGTCCCAAACAGACAGGCCATCTATTTATGCCTACCAGGGGCGAAAGTGTCAAGAAGCACCCGGGGCGTCCGGACGCACTTGGTTTCGAGGACGCGTATTCGGCAGGACACGCATACGGCAGGACGCACGTTTGGGCAGGTCTTATTTTTTTTGTTGATACCTAGTAGTAAGGCCAGGAGCCCCTAGTAGCGTCCTTGCTCCTAGTAGTAAGGCCAGGAGCCCCTAGTAGCTTCTTGTTTCTAGTAGTAGATTGGACTAGCTGAATTGCTGATTTGCCTGGACGGTTCCTGCCAGATAACCTGGACAACGCGTTTCTTTGGAATGCGTTTCTTCATGTCGTCCACCAGCCAGCTGATACATAATGAAGCCGCATGCAGCCAGTAATGAACAGCCCAGATGCCACAAACCTCGGCCCTATAGTAACATATACCATCAGGAGTACCATCAAGGGTTTGTGCTCAACTATGTGGTACAAGAATGTTTGATGTCAATAGTCCATATTGGTTCTGCTGTCACTTTGGGTGAAACTGCTTGGCTCTCCTACCTCTTCCTTGCTCCTCCCTCTTCCCGGCTTATTGACTTCCTGAGTACGGATTCCATCTAGTTAAGGAAGAAACGTCTTTGAAGTGCTTTACATGCACTTGATCCTTCAAGCTTGACATGTACAAGGCTTATCCCCAACCAGGCATGGCGGATCATGGCGGCCACCAAGACAAGTGCTTCTGCAAAACTCACCATCATCTGAGTTGCCTAGTTCTTGTTGTGCTTATGTGCAAGCCGGAACTGAGTGACCATCCGGACAATGCGCCCAGTCCTGGCACCCAGGCGGCAGACAATCCCTTCACCGAGGAAGGTGTCACTCAGATGACGGACCGATGGGACCGCAGCGATCGCGGTCGGGTTGACAAGAACCTGCAGCAGATACTGGAGCAGTCTTCCCTATAAGTCCTCTAAGTGGTGTTTTTAGGAGGCAGAAGGGGTGGTTGGCCAAGAATGGTTTGGAGATCTGACTGTCCTCAATGTCCTCCATATCCTTTTCTTGGTGCTCACCACGAATATAAACCAAAGGCCCTGACCACACCCTCATAAAGACATGATACCGGTTCGTCTCAAAGAGAGGTGTTTGTTTTGCACTGATGAATCATGTCTGGCTCCATGCAGGTATTGAGGTAATAGAGATGCCGATGGGTTTTTATCCCATGGTCCAGTACCAACCCAGGTGATTGTCACCTGTTCACTCTTCTTTTCACCTCTCGCACTCCGACACCTCGAGAAATCCATTTCTAGGACCTTTTGTCATGATATGTCATGATAGTACCTTGTTCCTCGAAAATTGAGCAGATGCAGTAGCAGTCTGGGACTGCAAATAAGATCTAAAAAAGAAGTGGATTTCTTTGAAGGTTCCTCACATAAAGTTGCATACTTGACCATGGAGGCACTCTTCAGAGATTTCCCTTGATGGTGACCCAACTGCTACTTTACCACTTGCTGCTACCAAATGGTGTCAATTCGCAGCAGGACTACATCGATGTCTTTCTGGAATACAAGATGGTCAAGAAGGGTTTCTCCATTGTGTATGTGCTTCGACGGCATAGATGGAGGAGGCGGACTGGGGCCTGGGGTCAATAGACGGGTGCCCAGAATCCTGCTGCCTTTCAACACATCATCCAGATATGCTGCGTATCGTCTCAAATTGTGGGTACAGTTCCGAGTGGTGACTGACCATACTGCTTGCATGAACTGTTTGGAGCCTCCATTATGACACAAACCAATATATACCAATATGATTTGGGTTTCTTTTGGGAAGACGGGACTAGGTACTTCCTGATTCAGACTGATTAATCAAGTACACATCAACAAACATTGCTTGGACTTTAACAAATGCCCCTGCAAAAGCTTTATATAAATAATTCTAAAACATTAAATACACATATACACATACATAATATTGTGTTTTTTTTTTTTCCGCTGACCGCTGACACATTGATTGGCATTCAGGATGTAGGACCAATCAATGCCCCCAAAAGTGTTAATCGAACATCGATGTGGCCTCCAGCAGCGAGATCATGATCACCCACCAATTTTCTGTTCGAAGGTCTAAGTGTTGTCAATCATGTTCGCAGTTTGGAACCCTAATGGCCTCCAACCTACTAGCGATGCCCTTTGTTACTAGTAGCCTCTTGTTACTAGTAGTAGGGCCAGGAGCCCCTAGTAGCATCCCTGTTCCTAGTATAGCGATGCCCTTTGTTAGAAGAGATATCTCAATAAAGACATCCTGGTGTGTGGTGCTTAGACTCGTCCAACGTTGGACTACTGACCATCCAACTCACCGTTGGACTCCTCAGGACTTGCGGCTCCTGAGGGTCCCCTCCCTGACCTTGGTGAAGCAACTGGCCACTTGGCGAACGCCCTAATTCCGTCGAAGTGGATCTGTTGTTCGCTTCTCTTTCCGCAACAAGTGGAGTACGGAGCACTTTGGCGGCTTCCTCGAGCCCCAACCGAACTGCCATTCACGCACTGCGGGTGAACGGTCCAAACGCCGGGACGTCGCAGTCCAAACGTCGCCGACGTCGCCTCCAGGCTGATTGGGGTCGGGATCCAGTGCGACAACAGACCTTCCAGCGATTGAACCGCACCTGCAAAGTGGTGGTGTCGGAGGCAACGACAAGGGTTGGGCATTGTGGATGATGGGCAGCATCAGAGAGATGCGAGGTTTACTGAAATGTGGGAGGAAGTTTTGTTGACAGACATGGGTTGATCCAGCAAAATGTGTTCATTTTTGTGTATTTGGCACTGTTCAATTATCAGGGTTTCTCTCTCCCCCTCTCTAGTTTGAGTGCCACCCGCATTTGACATGCTGGAGTTACTTGTTGGAGCCTTGGTGACCAGCGATAGAGCTGCCCCATATGGATCGACTGATTGCACGGATCACCGAGTCCATGGTCTCACCGAATGTCCGACACGGTGCGATCAGAAGCTACACGGTGCGACGGTGTATCCAATGCTGGATGATCCAAGTTCGAGTGCAATCTTTCAGTTGTACTTGACAGACCAGTCTGACAATTGAATTTGGATAATTCATCCACCCTCACACTGTCAACCCTAGCAAGTGCTTTCTCGCTCCAAGTGGTTGGTCTTGAAAGACCGGTTTGATTGCACCTTCTGCCCGGTGCTGCCCAGGGTTGGCGCATGGGGGTGGCGAAACGCATCCTGCGAGCGCCACTTGTTCGCAGCCACGGGAGAGGGTTCGGCGGTTCGGAGAGGGTATTGAGGGTATTTTGGAATGGGTCTATATTTTGGAACTCCCTGGTGGTTTCAGATATTTTTATGTTCAACAACCTCTACTTGAAAATTGCCCCAAGGTAGATGAGCGAGCCATGGGTAGTAGGTGTCTTTTTCACGCATGGATAGAACAAGGTGCTCCCACGAAAGTTAAACATGGTGTTCGCGAATGATTAAGATTCGCGAAAGTAATATTACTTTGGCGAAGAATGGCGTTTTAGTAAGAATGAATGTTTGATCAACCACCAAATGATTGAACCCAACTGACCAAAATTTTCAAGTGAGTTGAACCACCAGCCAGCATAAGACAATTGGCTTGTGGGTGGATCATTCATTTTACACCCATTTGGGTTTCACTATGTTCCTAACACAGTACTACTACAAACGTACTACTACAAACCGGTCATGAACTTGGATTCCATGTGCTCGTGGATTCGGGTGCAAGTCACAGGACCGGACTCAAAGATGTTTGTCGGATCGCACCTGGGATACCCAGACACAGGGATTGTCGGACCACAGATCTGGGATTTTTGGAGTGTTTTGCCGGACGGGGTCTTTGAATTTGCAGGGATCGCATAGGAGGGGATGGTTGAGTTTTGCAGTTCTTTTAAAGGAGAGCTCGTGCTGCTAGGCCACGCTGCTTACTTTACGATGGAACAGATTGCAGAAGAGAAGCGAAAGCCGCTGAAGTGGAGAAACACATCACAATGAACAGATCGTTTGAACCCCTATGTTCCCAATGCCTTGTATGTGTGGGATCCCATTTTCTAGACATTGGGGTTACTCCGGCTACTTTGCATTCTTCCTTTTCCATTGGGGTTTGGCACTTTGCGACTGCATCGAAGCATGCGGTGCTCAGGTTCTTTACCATGTGCCCTCCGGTCTGTGTGGACACCCAGAGTGTCGCTTTGAGGGTGCGCTCGTCATCTTTTTCAAATAGATCACATGGTCTCGAGTCTCCATGCAGTTTTCACATGGATACAATGGTCTCGCAAAGTGGTTTTATAGCTTTTGTATTGATGTTGGAGGGATTCAGGGATTCTTGGTAGTACACCAACCACCGGGATTCTTGAGAGGACAGGCAGCACCCTCGCTTGAGTTGCTGGCTTTGTTCGAGAAAGACTCCTACGTTGGGTTGAGGGGAGAAATGCATCCAAATATCAGAAGACATCAGCAGACCACGGGCGGGTTTGTACCCACGACAATCAGGGGATCACTAGAAAGCTATACTGGCAATGAACGCTATATGGGTGTGTATTGAATACGAATGTGTTTTTCTTTCGACCCCCGCGAAGAGAAGACATGGATGAGGCCACAAGCTATTCAAGGCAGGTATTCGCATGCTCTCACTGCATCTTCTGCGTGAAGTTGGCGCAGCAACGCACTTGACATTGACTAGCCTGACACGCAACTACCCGCCAAATTGGCAACTCTTCCTGTGCCACAACAGGAATGCCCCCTGTTCTATGGGGTGTATTCATCACGAGCTGCAGCCCCAATGGGTTGACTCATGCGCAAACCTCCATGACACGCGGTTGTTCTCCGTAACATGCTGGCACTCTGACAAACAAGCGAGAACTTAGGCGACACGTATTTGTTGACAGCCTCTTGGCCAAAGCATTAAAGTCTGGATTCTTCGGGTGAGGTGGGTGTGTGACCTGGAGGCAAAGTGCCACATGATCACAAGTAATGAACATCGTCAAAGGGATTTCCTAGAAGATTGAGGTTGGTGAGTTCCTGTCCGGAATTACGTGGGGTTACAGTTCTGCAATCCTGTCACAATGCAGTTTCCTTTAAGTTGAAATCTACTGACCGACCTTGGTCAAGATGTACCAAGCATTAACAAAGCTGGCCTTTTCATTGCTTTTGACATCTTCTATATTTAGTCTAATGGACAGACGTTGGGATGCCATGGATTCGGAGTGACAGGAGTCCAAGCAATGATAGGCTCCTGCTCGGTGCCGTTTTGTGCCAATATTGCGGTAGGCCATCGTTGAGATCTTCCGCATTGATCCAGTTCCAATCACATCTCAACCAAGAACCTGGTACAACCAGGTAATCACTCATTTCCTGTGCAAAGCTGTGCAATGGAACAATATGGAATAAAGTCTGACGACATTTCCCGTATGTACTGGGTTGGCACTTTGATGTGGATGTGTGCCATAGACAAAGAGGACGCCACTCTGTGCAATCGCACATGATCAAAGATTGAGCAGTGAATTACTATATATTGGATCATATAGGATCAGTGTGGTGAACGGAACCTAACAAGTGTCCCCAAAAGATCCAGTGGTAATGTAAGCAAAATTAACGCAGCTGACAACCCCAATAGAGCATCCACCAAGATTTGGCGCAATCTTTCTGCATGCTTTGTTCGTTGTTCTTTCACAGTACATATTATATATCGAGGGCGATTTATATCTAAATCCCAAACGCTGAAGGTGCCACCACTGGAATGCTGCTTCGAACACACTGGAACATTCCTCATTCTTTTTCAACCACTCCAGGCCTAACAGCTCGGGACGTTCCTGCTGCATTTGCCCTCGGGGCGGAGGGGGCGGAAACTCCTTGAGGCTCAAAGCTTCTGGCTACACCGGAGTGGAGTGGGGGCATTGCGCGGGATCGGATTCAGAACGGATGGGCCTGACAGATGCAGCAATGATGGACCTGGGAAGTTTGGGCTGAGTATGAGTGAGTGCAGACAACTTTGCTCATGCCTTTACCTCCAGCAAGGCCACACAGACTTCAGGTGGTGTTGCATCATCAGAGGCCTAATGCCTAGATGATGTGGGGAGTCCTATCCGGCGTACGCCCAGGCCAGTGCATTCCGGCTCACTGTGGGGAGTCCAGAGCTCCACAGGTGCTCCAGTGTGAGTCGGCCGTTGACCTTGACCTGCACATAGCACTCGTACCCGGACCTTGGCCAACGACCAGGCCCGAGCAATCGGGCTCCGATCGGCGGCTTCCAGTCCGTTCGGTCGGAGCTGGCCGATGCCAGACTCCAAGTTCAGCAAAAGACGGGCTTTCCATTGTGCCATGAACATATCCATGATCCATGTCCCCAAACGCCCTTTTTGTCAAACTATTTTGTAAACACCATTCTTGTAAATTTGCAATGTAGCAGCTCTCCCTCCTTTGAAGCCCTGGTCAGGGGAACCTGGGGAATGAACAGCTGTCAATATTTTCAAGGAAACCAGATCAAAACGATGGTGTCAAATCCTCAAACCATTCAGTCATATTGCAAGAAGGTGGACTGCCTCAGGCTGGTTCCACTCACACCAGTACAACCATTGTTTCCAAGCCCACCAAAGGATGCTTGAACATTTTATAACATTTTCAAAGCACAAATGAAATACCATCCAATGGTTTTTGCACAAAGATACACAAAAACAGTTAATATCCAAACAAACATGTATGTTCCATAGACCACAAGGCCACAAATAACTTAAGGGATATCCGCCGGTCGCCGAATTGTGTGTTCAAGTGAATTGCATGGTGTATACGTCTGAGGGCCCCCGGCCTGGTCCCGGTGTCTCGGTCATGTTTTGGTGGTGTCTCGGCCATGTTTGCCCGCTGCCTCGGTCCCGGTCATCATGTTTTAGTTGCCCCTCCCGCTCATGTTTTGGCGGTATTTGCGTCATGTTCTGGCGGTGCCTCGGTCATGTTTGGGCGGTGTCTCCATCATGTTTTAGTGGTGTACTGGTTGTGTTTTGCTCCGTCATGTATGTTTTTGGCGTTGCCTCGCTCATGTCTGGGCAGTGCCTTGATCAGGAAATCTAATGATTAAATTGCTTTAGTTTTCCCAAAGAGTGCGAGAAGCAACCACCTACCTAAGCAGAACGTGCATTTATTCGCCAACTCGCCAACTAAGTTTTTTTCAATCGCACAACAAAGGGTTGCTCTTCTCAAACAATGCAGTCTGTTCATGTCGAAGTATGTCTCTATACGCACGCGCAATAAGATGTTTAAGCGCCAGCAGGCAATGTGCACCAGGTGAACAAACATGCAATCACACAGTTCATACAATCACAAAGACTGAGACCGAGGCAATGCGGCAACATAAGAGAGACACCACCAAAGCAGAAAAAGGACCAAAACACCACCAAATCATAACCAACACACCATCCAAATGCGCATCTTCCATGGTGCCAAATACTGAAAACTATGTGCACTTTAGCAACTGCATTCACTGCACCTGTCGTTTGTCAACAACGCGTGCGTGTTTTGAAATACATAGTCTTTTCTAGTGTCTTATTTTTGTAGTGGCGTGTTTGTCCTGTTGTTCCCTACGATATCCATTGAAACGTCTCGTTCCTCGTCTATGCGGAAATTGTGTGTACCCATTTCAAAACACCTATGGCCTGGTGATTAGAAGGCTTAGAACAATTTTTTGAGATATTTATTCT